CTGTGGTTTGGGCTGAAGTGTCACTAACAGGCCTTAGAGCTTTGCTTTCAAGAATACAAGGCAGATTACATAAACTTTTGTAGAAACTGTGTTTTCTTTGGAATTATTCCATGTCTTCTCTTTAATTATTTTCTTTTTTGTCTCTCTGTAAGGACACTAGCTTTTTTTCAGTTGTACCATATGTTGCTTAGTTTTACCATTCAGTTCCAGATTTTATGTCTGGGTGCATCTAAATGACATGGAACTTGTATGACTATATTTTAAACAAGATGATTATATTGAATGTCTACCTTTCAGTTTTCTGGAACCAAACATAGCTTTGTAATTTCTCAAAAATTTTTCTCACTCTTCATTCACCTATGATACTACATACAATCTTTTCCTCATTGACACATTAACATATATCCAATAAAAAAGATTCTAATTATAACCTGTTATTGACATCATTACAGAGTCTATAAGGATGTTATCTGTGCTCCTTTTATGACTGGGTTCATGTTCTCTCTCTCCTACCATTCTCTTTCTTATATTATGTTTGCCTTGCCAGAGAGTGGGGGTATTGAGGAGAAGAACCTCTTGACAGAAGAGTTGAGCAAAGAGAAACAAGAGACTAAAAATTGTAATCCATGAAAACTCTGGTCCCAACTAATGATTGGAGGAAGGTAGTTAGAGACACAATGAATCCTAGTGTTTGGAATACGAATGAAAGACATTTGTCCTTTAGGTAATGGAAATTTGATGTTAAAGAACAGACTGATGACCCTTAATCAACCACTATAGGGATAGAGTGCTGCAAGCCTAGCTCAAACTCCAGAAGTTTTGGAATACAGTATTAAGAGGAATTTTGGAATACAGTAGTAAGAGGAAAAATTCAGCAAGTCTTTGCTTCATTTTCTTAGTCCTCACCTCAAATTTATGAGACAATCACTGTTATTTTCTCCAATTCACTCATGTAGAAACCTAGAGACAGGAAAGTTAACTAACTCTCAAAGAGGACAACAGCAATAAGGTGGAAACAGTTCTCCAGCTCAGTCCTCCGGTTTTAAACTCAGGTTTACCCAACAGTTTTGATATCAGAATAGCAGAGTGAAGGAAATAATGGGCCAGAGAGTCCTTTCCTTTAAAAAAAAAAAAAAAATGCGTCTGTTCTTCAAGACTTGAAAACCAAAGAACAGTAGGTATGCTCAAGACAGTTTGGGATTTACAAATTGGTCATAAACATGGGGGTCTAAAAGTGGCCTCTAGAGCATTATGAAAGTGTGCGGGTGCTTGTGCCAGGCCACCACATGGAAATACTGACTTCTGTCTGTCAGGATTGACCACTCCTAGAAAAGGCATGAATTAATGACAGCCAAAGTGGAGTAACCATAAGAAAAACCTGCTTCTGATGCCAAAAGGAAGGTCACTCTAAAATCAGAATGCCCTGCTGATGGTAAACAGAGATTTGTATGTTCAGGAACTGAGACTGGTCAGAAGGAAGAAGAAGCAGAAAAACATGAAATGTACAGTGTGTCACATGTTCTCTATGGTAAACTAAATAAGTTTGTTCTATGTGTGGCTAATAAGGAAACAGATGGTAGCCAATTCAAGCAAGTCTGTATGTATTTTGGGGGTTTACAGTGAAAAATGAGGCATATGCTACTAGTGGTGTAGGGGTTGTGCAAAAGATCCTATATCTTCACAGTGCCGAGATCTTCTGGCCAATGACTATTGAAGTAGATCTTCATCACCTCATCAATGTCAAAGTTTAAAGCTGAGATACAGCATATAAAATTGATCACTACAATATACCCTGAATTAAAAACATTTTTTTTTACAACAGAAAACACATTGTCATTAGTTTCCCTGCAAGTACCATTCTGGTTTTGAACACTTATTATTCTTGTCATTTTCTTAGCATTTCTGGAAGTTCTTTTGTGCCTTTGTGAGGTATAAATTTAAACAATACTGTGAATAGAGCCGCTGAGGGCCATTCAATACAAAGGTAGTCAACCTTGTCACTGGATTTCACCTGTTGAGATGCATCGGTTTTCCCCAAAATCAACATGGCCATGAAAGATAAACTTTTAAAACTGATTCAGGACTTTGAGGCAGCCACAAGGTGTCATAACCTGAAGACACCCAGAACTGCCTCACAAAGTGTCAAGATTGAGGGGCTAAGTGTTTGAAGCAAGGGGAGTATTTTCAGGGAGATGAACAGCAGTGTGCCTTTCCCTGCAATACATTTTTAAAAATTTAAACATTAATTGTATAACTCAATCACCATTTGTATGTGGTAGATTCCAGCATTAAGCTTTGGGACTGATGAGGTGGTGGAGGTCTGCCAGTAGCCAAGGCTCTCGACATTGTGAAAATACACGGTTTACTGCATAATCCCTGACACCCACAATGGCATTTTATTTTGCTCATCTGCTGTCTTTTGAAGCTATTTAGTTCTCATAGAAATCAACAGTGTTAAGGTTTTCCTTATATTGTCTTTACTTGTATTTAAAGAAAACTGTAACACTAACAACATTATAACAACAGAAGGAAAAGTTCCCAATATTTTATCACCCAAACACACCAATGCTTACTTATCTCTGCATTACCTTCTTGTATGTCTAAATAGCTATTAGTTATGATTTTTAGTAATTTTTGTTATAATGAGTTCTCTGAATCTCAAAACTGTATATCTTACTCTCATTTTATGGTGACCCATCTTTCTCAGTGCAGTCAGTATCTATCCCTTGTCTCTTTTAAAAATCTTTATTCTTGACCTCACTTCTCTGATAGTCATATGCTTTTTGGATAGGTAATCATCTTTCTAAAGTATGATATTTGTAAAAATTTTACATGTTCACATGTAGTGTTTTGTTACATAAATTGCCTGCAATTTCTAGGGAACACAAATAATCTGCAGTAAATGTCCTTGCAAATGTCCCATAATAGGCTTTGAAAGCATTTCTCTGAAACTTACACCCAAGAATGGACTTCTGGGTCACAAGGCTTTTGCAGCTGGGTTTCTTTAGGTACTATATTGTCAGGTTGTTCTTTAGAATGGCTCCAGTCTTTTTCTTTTCAACAATAATGCAAGAAGCTTCCAGTTTATTAGGTCTCATCAGTATTGGAAGGTATCCAAATGTTTTAATTTTGCTAATTTGATCAAGTGCTATTTTATTGTTGTTTACTTTGTATTTTGATTACTGATAAGTTTGAAGATCTTGTATGAGTGTTCTTTTATTTGTGTGATGATAACTTCTAATGCTTGTCTATTTTCTTTCTTTCTTTCTTTTTTTTTGATTTGTAAGAGTTTTCTGTTAAGATTGGAATTCCTTGACTGTTTAAGATGTTACTGATATCTTCTTCCATTCTGTCGACCTCACCTACAATATTTTTTGTAAAGAAGAGACCTCTGATTATAGTATTATAATTATCAATTTGATATGCATATCTTGCGTCTTAAATACATCTTTTCCCCATGAAAATGATACAAAAATATTATCCTGTTTTTATATTGACTTTATAATTGTAAGCTTACTTTAATCTGGTGTTTATCATCATAAAAAGTAAGTAGGCAGTTTATTTTGCCCCATGAACAGACTGAGAATTTTCAGTATGACAAATGAAATGTCAAAGTCTCTTCCTGTTGGTTTCAATGTTCTTTGTATCACATATCAAGTTGTATGGATTAATAAGTTCTGTCCCCCTGTGTCTGTGGGTTCCAGAACTGTAGACTTATTAAATACTTTTAAAAAACATTTGAAAAAGAACGTCTTTTTACTGACACGTACAGATTTTTTCTTGGCATTTTCCCTAATATAATGTAAAATATATTTATATAGAATTTATATTGTAGTAGTTATTATAGGTGATCTAGAAATGATTTAAAGGATGTGGATAGATTATATGCAAATACTGTCCATTTTAGAAAAATTCGGGTTTTTATAGTTTTTCTCAAACCAGAGTTTGATTAGGGTGATTTAAAAATTTTATCCACTATGGTAATCATTAGCTATAGGCAGTTATTGAAGACTTGAAATATAGTATAGCTAGTACAAGTTGTGATGCACTGCAAATGTAAATTATATAGCTAATGTCTAATACTCAGTACAAAAATAAGAATAAAAATTATTTTTGTATTGATTATTGTCAAAATTATATTGCAAATATATTATTTAAATTCATTATAAGATGATAAATATATATACCAATTCCTCAAGAGAAATGTGATTACTATGTATCATAAATATATACAAAAAAGCTAAAATTATACCTGTTTGTTTTTACACAAAATGTAGCTAGTAAAACTATTAAAATTATACATGCAGTCAGCATTTTACTTTTATCAAATAATGCTTTAGACGGTTCAAATTATTTAGAAGACTTCCATATTTCTTTCATAGTTCTTATTTCTTTCAAATAATATAGCATTGCCTTCATTTAAGCCTTCTTACATCAGAACAAATTTTTTTTCTGCTTATCATCATCATATAAATAAATGTACAAAGCATCAGAATTCTTGCTTTGAGTACCTGATTGTCTGGCATGGAATTTCAGTACTGTGCAAAACTTGGAGAAGAGCTGAGCTTAAAAAAAAAGGTCTTGGAAGCAAACGGGAGGAAATACCAACACGATGGTTATACATATGAGTCCAAAATTGAGGAGAGAAATATGAGCTGAAAACTCTGATGAGACGATCATTAATCCAGTAACTGCCATCAAGTATCCTTAGGATTTTGATTTTGCTTTAACTATTTGCTGATTAAGATGTTTGGTAATAAGTCCTCATAATTTCCAAGAGCTTTTGGGTATTAATAAAGTAATTTTTTGGCATAAAACCCTTAGACAGAAGAGAAACCAAGCTAATTTGAGATGTTCAATGAACTGTGAACTAGTTAAAGCCTGAACTCCCAAGAGAGATGTGTCTGAGACAATGTTAAATAAAGGAGAATTTTAAAAGTAGGCAGATATCTTAAAAAAGAGAATTCATCCAAAAACATCAAGCCACTGCACTAAAATACCTGTATTTATTGATGGAGTCACAGTATAGATGGAGTGGAACCAATGAAAGGACAGGACGCAGGTCAGCGAATGAACCAAGGATTCCTAGCTTCTTGCAGGGGTAAAAATAGAGAGGATAATTGAGAATAGTAGATTGCAGAGTAGTCTATTGCTAAATAAAGAACCAACAGGTGTTTTCAGCTCGTGTGCTGGCTGGAGGAGCAGAAGAGCAACAGTGGCTCTCTCCTAAGGCGGAGAGAATCTCATTCTGTCACAGCAACTTGGCAGAAAAGACCAAATCTCAGGTGGTGGTTGGCGTGAAAGTTCTGGCTTCTCTTCTGGGGTTTTTCACCCAAGGTCCCTTTCTTTTCATTTTTGAAGAGTTGTCAGTTAGTGTTTTATGTCTCATTACAGTCTAAGTATTATCATAGAGAGTACATTTGAGGTCTAGGTTTCGGGCTTTTTGCTAGGTTCCTTCACTGATGGAGGTCACTTGGAATCTCACAAGCATCTGGAAATCAGTTGGAATCTCTGAGCCTCATGCCAGAAGCCAGGCACCAATTCTCCGAGAGATTCTCACACAAGAAGCCATGCACTTGTTAAATGTGCATCAGAAACATGTCTTCATACTGAGACCCTCCCTTTGCCCTCTGGGAATCTCTGGCTGTGTTTGATTTCTTCTGGATGATTTCATTTTGTAAATGAAAATCAAGTATGTTAAAAGACTAAGAGAAGATTCTGATGGAAAAGTTAGGACAATTAGGCACTATTTCTAAAATTTTTATTGTTCTTTTTTGGTCACAGATTGTTCATCCTTAGCTTCTTCATCCCTTAGCTTTATATTTCATGAAGGTGAGAGACAATGAGTCACTTATCAGAAGTTGGGAGAGTTGAGCTAAAAACAGCAATTCTGCTTTTCACACATATTTTATTTATGGATAGTTTTTCACTTTAAGAACTTTCAGATGGGGAAAATTTTGTGAACCAAAAGTTGATATACAGATAAAATACACAGGAAATATATAGATGTATATTTTAGATAGGTGCATGACATATAAATGGTGGAGATAGATAGATAGATAGATAGATAGATAGATAGATGCTAGGAAATAGAGAGAGAATGATGATACAATACTCTGTTCCAGTGTCTGGAGTGACTTTAGTGAGGAAGTATTGTCTGATCCAAAATATTCTTTATGGGAGTCACATTTTGACATCTGAAAAGTTCCAGATCCTTCCGGTCAGTAACTAGTAACTTGACCTTTTGAATTTTCATTCTTTCTCGCTCCACAGTGGCAACTGCTTTTCATCCCTTGTGAAATGAAGGTAATTGTTACTCAAATAAAAGTGTCACACTTTGAGAGCAGTCAGAATTTGATGTAATATTTAAAGAAAAGAATATAATTTCAGTTCCAAAATTCATTAAAAAGTAAAATAGATCTCTATCAAATAGCCCCTAAAGACATTCAGTGGTATGAAGTAGGCTTTACACAGTAAGTTGTAAATTAAGTTTTTAAAAATTCTTATTAGAACTTCTTGCTCCCCCCAAAATTCTGTTTTTGTACAAATGTCCACATGCTCCCAACTCCATTCTCAGTAGATTTTTTTAGATGATCACTCTTTTTGTAGAAAATCAGTTGCCTTTCCAAAAGGGTATAATAATGTAGATGGAGAGTGTAATTACCTGTAATTTAATTTGTTTATTTTTGTCATATGGAAGTTGGGTTTTTCTTTCTCATTAGGAACAAAAATGAAAGTCATTGAAATAGAAACTTACCTTTGTATTATTACAGATTTCTTCCAAAAGTTGTAAAATGTGTAGCTAACCACTTATTTTCCCTTTGGAATCTCTTTGATGATGAGAGGAGAGGGAATCCAATAATGACCCTGGGCCTTTAAAGGAAGTGTGTATCTTTCTCCCATGAAGTAGTACGAAAAACCTAGGGGACCCAGTATTTGAAGACCTAGCTTCTGGCCTTCTCAGACTGTTTCCTGCTGGGTGGATCTCAGATATTTCATCTATTTGCAGTCTTCCTACCAATAAATGTAGGTGTTGGGGTAGAGCAGTGAAAACAAATTTGTGTATGTCACCTCACAATCACCAAGCTTAGCTGCTGAATCTACAATGAAACCAAGGAGCTTAGTCTCTAAGGAGCAAGGCAAGCCACTGGTTTTCTCTCTGCCTTAACCTCTTCATCTGATACCTGGGATTGTCATGAGCACATAGGATAACAGGTACGGCGATGCTTTAAAACCTATGAGCACAATGCATATGGAAGAAAAAGTTCTGTTCCTCCCTTCTTTGTGTGAGCCTCCTGAGAAGTTGTTTGCTGTAGAGGGCTATGGTTATCTGATAGGGTCCCTCAAAAAACAGATATTTTCTCTCAGCTATGATAGCTAGAACAGTATCAGTGTTGATCACACTCTGGGGTCTCTTTCCTCAGTTTACAGATGGCTCTCTTCCCCCTGCACCTTTACACGGTGTTTCCTTTGAGTGGGCCTGTATCCTATGTAGATTTTTTAGGGCATCAGTCATATTGGATTAAGGCCCACCCATTTGGCCTTATGTTACCTTAATGATCTCTTTGAAGACCCTCTCTCCAAAAAGCCATATTTTTTTTTTGTCCCAGAAGACAGGATTTAAATGCATTTTTGAGAAGACATAACTAAGCCTTTAACAAAGACTGCCATCTTTCTCTTTGGTATAGTTTTTATTTCAAGATTTTGTTACATTACTAACTTACTGTAACTGCATTAGATGTTTTGTGAATAGTCAACTTAATGTCCTGATTTCTTCCACTTTTGTCCACTCAAAACTTGAAAATACATTAAAATTCTGTATTCTGCATCTTCAGGGTTTGAGTGTAGGGTTTTCAGGCAAGAGCAGTAATATGTTTGAGATGTTCATCAATCTCCTTTGATGTGTGTGTATGTGTATGTGTGTGTGTGTGTGTGTGTGTGTGTGTGTGTGTGTGGTGACCACCTAAACCTAGTAATTTTGTAGATCAAAACAAAATAGAAACTATAATTTTTTGTAGTTTTTAGCAAAAATTATATTAAAGTAATGAAGCATACAGAATAATTTCTAAGGAAATGCTTACCTTATACATTAAGGGAGCAAATGTAAAATATATTTAACATGTCCTTTTGCAGATGTAATTAATTTCTCACAGATTTCGGCACCTATGGTATAATTAGAGTCCCCTTAACAAAAATAGTTCAAATTTCACTAGCCTTTTGAAAGTTATCATCAAAATATCTTGCAGTTTCCTCAATAGATAGGTAGACCTGAGCTCAGTAAAAATGAGATGCTCCATCACTGAGAATTGAAAATAAAATCCTACCGTCTGAAAGCTAGCTTCCTTACTGAGTCAAGTGCTGTGTGTCTGAATCCTCTAATTGAGATACGGTCTTTGTCAGAATGCCCTTAATTCCTTGCAAATTGATTTTCATTGCTCTGACTGCAGGTTTCCCCAACACAATCATGCTCTACTCAATCTGACCATGGGTCAAACAAGGACTCATGCTATCAACAAAATAATTTCTACTGAAAACTTCTTAAAAGATCTTCCTTTTCTCTCAACTATCAGTAATGATGTGTGCTAAATGTAATTGTCTTAATTTTGATGATGACATTAAATAATTTACCAGAGTTCTACCTTTAGAAAGTGGCAATTCTAAAATCAAAATGTAGATATTTCAAAACCAAAGGGAAATTCTTTATAATATTTGGTATATGAAACTAAGTACCATCCTTTCCCTCTGTTGTCTAATTATTTTGGCTAGTTTTACAATCGCTCAGGAGTCACCTATGAGAGGAAACAGAACATTATTGATATTTAGGATCTAACTATGTATTTGTGTTTAATTAACTAGGAGAGGTAGAAATAACAGATTATAAATTATAAGGAGTTACAGGACCCCTTGAAATAATTTATCTAAAGGGAAAAGAAGCAGGCAGGAGAAGATCTGAAATCATTGTGAAGTTGTCACTGGAATACATCATATCAGACAACCTGGATGTCTCCTTACACCATGGAGAAAAAGGTGGCATTTAACTGAGTGAGATCTTATAGCTTGGGTCACCAGCAAATTTTCATACTGATTGCTTGGAGGAAGCTAACCTGAGGCAAAGTCCTTTCCCAATGGACACTGTTTATAAGTGGAACATCAAGTGAAAGCTGGTGGTGAGTAATGCATGCAAGGGAGCCTTGGCATTTGAGAATCTTGCAAGGGAATGCTGGCATTTGCCAAAGCAGAACATTCTGAGCCCTTCTCACCAGGGAGATGGTGGATCTAGAGTGATTCTTCAGTAGACAGAGACTTGTAGTGGTAGGAGAGAAGAGGGAACCTTAGAATTTGCCTGAGAGATGATTGTCACTGAAGTAATCGGGGCTGTGGTTTAGCTCAGCGGCATAAGCGCCTGCCTTGCAAGCAGGCAGTCGGGAGTTCAATCCCTGGTACCGATAAAAACGAAAAAGACAAAAAAACAAACAAACAAACAAACAAACAAAAACACCATGATCTCCTCTGAATCCATAAGCTAACGAGGTCCAGAGTCATTAGAGTGACATTTGTTAAACTAATGTGAGTGACCTAAAATGTCCAAGAAAACATCTATGGATATAGCAATACTCCCAGCTTTGGAAATAAATGTTGTGTCTGGTTAATGATTTTGAGGTAATATTAGAATACACTTGGTTTTATAAATATGAATTTTGTTTACTCCAATTCTTAACACGATCAAGAGTATCTGTCATGGGCTGGGGATTTAGCTCAGCGGCATAAGCGCCTGCCTTGCAAGTGTGTGGGCGTGAGTTTGATCCCTGGTATCGATTAAAACAAAAAAGACAAAAAAAAAAAAAAAAAAAAAAAAAAGAGTATCTGTCATTCTACACACAAATTTCTTCTTGGTCTTCTTTTTCTCTCCTGGCTAAGGCTTATCTAGAATCCTGGTCTGATGACAAAATAATCTTCTTTCTTCAGATAGTATTCCAAGATTAGAAATATATATTGATGCATATATATGTTCAGAAGGAGCATGCCTATGAATTCAGAAGGCCTATTTAAAAGAGTTATATTTCACGTGCCATATATTAACATATGCC